TTCAGTTGTCGTCCTTAAAACTTCACAGTTATACTCAGTACATCTCAGTTCTGTCCTGAAACTTGTCTTAATTCCAATTATGATAGTGTAATTCTACCACAGAACTGACCTGGCGCTGAAATCCTTGGGCTATTTCAACTATCTGAGCTGAAAGTAATACCTTGAGCCTATGAGCCAGATTGGATGTAGTCATACGCAGATAAGAGTGTTTTTTCCTACTGTCAAACATGAGTCCTCTGAGATTCCAGCTTTTTTGTAGTCACATTACTCCCTTGAACGAGTGATATCTTAACTACCAGTTTAAAGCACAAATATCAAAGGAATCCAGTGATAATATGAAGTGTCACCGAATGAGAAATTAATCTGTGTCTACAGAGATGTATTCTGCACACCCAAGGTATTGTGATAAAACACATTTGAGAACTGGTTCTTCTGCAGGGGAAGATATTTTTTTATATATCAAACACTTTTATTATATGTGAAGTGTTTTGATAAGACAACTGCACCATGTCCCCTGAAAGCTTAGTTTATTGACATTTATAGCAGTGCTTGCTGCGTGAGGAACAAATTACAGAGCTATTTTTCAAGGCGTCTTCAGATCCTGGAGACGTACTGAAAGATAAGTGAGACTTGTGAAAGCACGGGGGGAAAAGAGATGCATGCTTCAGCTCTTCTCTGTAGCACGAGTGGAAGTCCCAGATGGACCATGCCCACATCTCAATACCATCAGCTCTCTACTGCTATCGCAGACCTGCCCTTGGGTTCTTCCTCTGAGCAAGCAGAATTACACTTAAACGAAGATTACACAGAAAGCAGTGGCTGAAGCCAACCGTTTTAACATCAAAAATCCAAATTCCTCACTGCCTTTTATTGGCTTGTCAGCACTTTGCAGGCCTTATTGTGTCAATAGTCACAGTATGAAACCCGCGGAGTTTAGGTGCAATTCTCATTTCTAGCTATAGAGCTGGATAGAGATGGCTCATGCTAAAGGATAAAACAGGATTAGAGAAATGCAGAACTATTCAATCTTGTGTTCCTGGATCTCAGTCTAAATTGCAGTTATTACTGTAATTGTGGTATGTATTTAACAAGAGAAACTGTTAATTTCACAATTTTTCTATCTGTTAATAAATTGCAGCAGTGCTGACAAACTATGATACGTATAACAAATATTACAATTTAGTATAATTAGAGCACAGTAAAATATAACAAATGCATAATGTTGTCAGGGTTTCTGTTTAAACTCCTGATATATTTTCTTCTTCCTTCTCAGTAATATGTTCACAGATGAAAGAGTTGACACGTCATCTGGTGGGAAGTAAGTAGACTTGCACACGTTCAGCTGACTCTTGTGTTCCTACTACAGTATTTTCACTGATTACTTTCTGTGCAGACACAGAGGGACAGGGTATCAAGGAGAATATATTTCTTTGAGTAATTCAAAGTATTTCAAAGCAATCACTGCGTAATGTCAATATTTTTGTTCATGATCCTCGTGGGATTGTGAGAGCTGAGGGTTCTTTAGTGCAAAGATTACAAATGTGTAGATACTGTATTAGGATATATACAATTAAAACCACAACTAAGTTATATCTGGAAGACAGATATCTCAATATTTTATCTTTAAGTATGTTGGAAGTATTTTCTATTCATTTTGGCTGGGTAATTAGGTGCATATAATGAAATAAAAGGAAGGAAAGGGAGGGAACCTGTTCAAATGCCACACTCAATGAAGTATGTAAGGAATCTCCCAACGACCCCATTTGAACTTTATATTTAAAGCAAAACCAACCAAACAAACAAACCAAAACCAAACCCCAAAATAAAAACCAAAGCAAAACGTACAATATAAATTGAAGCGGTACAACTTGTGCCATAGTAGAGCAGTGAATAACACCTGATTTGTACCACTTGGGAAGCAAACTAGGCCATCTGCTTGGTATCAGCATGGAGGATATCACATTCTCAAGTCAAAGCATCATCCGGGCAAGGGTGTGAAGAGGAGTTATTTGGAGAAACACTGTGAGAAAAAAGATCAAAGACTTGTTTTAGAAGAGAAACATTACTCATGTAGCCTTAACCTACTCTTAAAATTAAAAAGAATGCGTATTAGCCTTTCCCTTTGGTGGGCCAGTCCTGCTACTTTCACCAAGTCTGCATGTGCAGACATGTTGAGAAGGGCCTGCTTGGTGCAGAACTTGGTACAGGAACAATATGTTGCTTTAATCCTGCTCACGCTCTCAACAAGGACCTTCCATGGGCCTTAAGGTGGGTTGGTCTTGCACTGATTCTCTCCCCAGGGGCAAATCCCTATCTGAGCAAGTGACATTAGATTGTCAGTGAGATATGATGTTCAACAAAAGCGTGTTGCATATTTTCTTATTTCTCTTGCACACAAAAAAAAATCAGACTGCAGAGTCCATTTGATATATCAGCTTCAGTCATTCAGATTAACCAATAGTATTTACCTGTCACTTTTTTTCATGTATTTCTCTAAAGGATTAACAATGTGGATTTTTCTGTAGGCAGAGCAGATGTCTGTTTAGCATGGGTGTGATTCTGACACTCTGGGAAGTGCCAGTGACCTACATTTACAATAAAAATGAAAAAGAGGTCTGGGGCAGGGAATAGTGCATTTACAGGGTAGAACTGAAACATAACTCTGACTTTTGAACATGGCTAGACTCTGTCAGGGTCATGGAGAGCTGCAAAAAGCTCTGGCACCTGAGATGTTCTCCCTCACCCCAGCCAAGAGGCATGCTTCCATTTTCTTACAAGAATACTGCCAGAGAGCAGTGTTTTAACTGTAATGATGACACAAATCGAATGTCCTTCTCCTACTTCGGGTATTTGCTTAGAGGCCAATATCCTGTTTGTTTTAAGAACATGTTAAGTCCTGGCCCACCTTAGTGCTACAGCGAATGATCTATTCTTGCTTAAGGTTTCATTTCTGAAAACATTTCTACTGGACAACAGAGTTGATAGCGCAAATGATATTGAGAAGCTGTTCAACTGTTTCCAAAGATTTTTTTAAAAAGCTCTCTTAATTATTTGATCTGAATGAGTTGTGCATACCTAGTCTGTTCCCCAGTAATTCTTTCCTGACACCCATACCATCCCTCTGAGCTATGGCATATATTATAGCAAGACATTTAGTTGTGACGGGAAAAGATCTCAATGCCCATGAAATGCAGTAGCTAACTCTTAGAACAGCAGCTCTTGATAGGCAATGTTAGTGATGGAGACAAAAGCAGATGGATTGTTGCCCTGGCTTTTGAGCCATTTTATTGCTGCCCCTGCCCCTGGCATAAATCAGAGTCTAGGACTGTTCTCACTCAGGTCTGTCTGGAACGATCTGCCTGTACTTTCATCATCCTCTGAAGATTTCCATTGTTTTTTGAAGCTGCAGAATAGGCCAACAATGATAGAGAGGCTGACTTGAAAAAGCACACTGACATCATTGCTGCTGATTTCTGACTCAGCAGAGACATAGATATTTCTCGGAGTGGAGGATGTTGTTTCAGTTACTCGTGCTTCTGAGGCAGTTTGACGTGAAAGACTGAACAGGGCGGAAACTTTCACTTTGAGCAAAAGAACAGTTTTAATAGAGCCTGCATGCCTGCACCTCTTCACTTCTGTCCCTTCTCACAGCTCTCCTAGACCAAACGTTCAACACCCCAAACTGCTGGTGACAAAATAAAAAGGAAATTCGGTTAACTGTGAGGATGTGTTTTCAGAAAAAAATTATAACCGTGGAGCTCTAGAACAACAATGTGGAAGCAAAGACCCTACAGTTGCAGCAGAAGATCCTAACACAACTGGATATCTTAGAGGAAAGGCACAGATAAGGACATTATGCCCTTATACTGCCAAAAGTCCTTGCCTTCTGTCCGCTTCTCTTCTCCTTGGCAAGCTGCAGGCAAATTGGAGGATGCAGCACAGATCTGGCACAGTCAAGAGGGATTTTCAGCTAACCAATTAAAGCAGCCAATTAAAGCAGTGTAGGAGCCATCAGGTAAGCCAATATCTATGTAAACATCTAGTAATGGCTACCCAGGGGGCAAGCAGGGCATCACCTTTGTTTGTCTGAGGCAGGTGCTCGTAGTGTTGTCTAAAACATCCCTGCAATGAGCAGAAACGTGCAAGACGTTGAAGATTTTTTGAAAACGCTCATGCTCAATTTGCGAAACTCACTTCTTGAAAAAGCGTCTCTTTGGGTAAAGAAAGCAGTTTTCCTCTTATGCTTGCCTGCATATATTCTTGATCTGACATGACTTGCAACCACAAGAGAGCACTGTTTCCTTCGAAGATTTCTCTGCTTCCCCAGAAAACTAGAGAAATGCCATATAAGTTTTGCAAACTGCTTGTGAGCTGTTTCAGTTAGACCAGAGCAGCCGAAACAACAAAGCTTGCAGTTGTCTCTTGGATTTCATTGTGAAAAGCCTTTGGGTAGTCTTCAGATGACAGAAGATCTTTGGTTCCTGAAAGGGAGGAGTTCTGCCAAAACTTTGAAGATCCCTGTAAACTGCAAATTACCCATCTTTTGGAGACAATTATATCAAACGATATCGTGGATTACAATACATGAGAAGTGTTTAGAGCCTGGAAGATTATTTATGTTTGGCATTAACTCTTATGGTCATAATTTCAAGCGAGGAGAAAAGTAATACACAGGAACCCTCTTATTATCTTTTGAAATATGAAGATCAGAGGAAAAGAAGGATTTAAAGTGTGGAGTGATGGTCCTCAAAACCTGTCTGTAAATTAGCTGACATCCTACATCTATAAAAACAAGGCTTGGAGCTGATTTCCAGGCAGAGAGTGGACCTCATGAGTCAGTAACTGTGCTTTCAGATCTGAGATTTTATATACCACGGGAGGAAATTCCAGCCTGTGGGGCCAAGTGCCTACACAAATGTTTCCTCCTTCCTTGGACTGATAGAGGATTTGGAAGCCAAATTCAGGAACTGACATTTCACTGGTGGGGAAAATAAAGGAGCATGGACAGCAAGAAAGATGATGATGGACTCCTGAACAGGATTGCATTTCCAGGAGCTATGTCCCTGGCTAACGGCCACGTGCATCCCCACGGGGTCCCCCTGAGAGAGCCCTTTGGGGTTCCCTTCCATCTGGATGCCTCGTACTGGGAACAAGCCTATGGCGGGCACGCAGGTCGCATCTCCTACATCCCCTTCCCTGGCTACGTGGGCGTCTATGACTATTCCTTTGAGCCTGCCTTCATTCGGAAGAGGAATGAGAGGGAAAGGCAGCGGGTGCGCTGTGTGAACGAGGGCTACACCCGCCTGAGAGAGCACCTGCCCAAGGAGTTTGCTGACAAGCGCCTCAGCAAAGTGGAGACCCTGAGAGCTGCAATAAGCTACATCAAACACCTGCAGAGCTTGCTGGACTGCCATCCCTTAGGGTCTAACAGTAAGGAGGCACTCTCTGCCAAGGAGATGCCGGAAGCTCCCAGTCCTGCTGCCCCACGGGAGTGCAACAGTGATGGAGAGTCTAAAACCTCTTCGGCTTCATCCCCCTACAGTGAATTTGAGGAAACGGGCAGCTAGGTAATGGCCTCTCTGGAGACGAAAAGCTTCGAGTTCAGCTGAAAACCAAATCTAAAACCCTGGGGATTTTTCTACAGATGAGAGTGAATAGCAGGAAAAGGAAAAACAGCTAGGAAAGAACAAAAAAAAGGGTATGATCAATCTGTCAAAGCACTTTAAGTGCTGTCTGTGTAAAACCTAAAGGTTATTTGTTAGCAAACATATATCTCAGGTTGTTTCAGCTGTCACTAAGCTTCCTTTGGATTGTTAAAACTGAAGCAGCATTTGTGTTCTACTTTTCCTTCAGCTTTTATTCTGTTCGTGGTCACTCGAAGAGGCAGCAAAAGCAGATAAATCCGTTTCAGGAAATTCCCCTCCTCTTTCTCTTGCTTCCTCCTGTAAGTTTTATTGCTAACCTGAGATGCAAACACTTGGACTGGGAAAGGTAAGATTTTTTTTTTTTTCCCTAATTTTTTTAGAAAACTCACAAAAATACTTGTATTTCTGAAAAGACAGTTTTAAAAATATAAATAAGGCTATATTTGGGAATTAATTTCTTTTACGACATCTAGAGTGAAAGAAGGAACTCTTACATTGGACACTGGCCATTTGGTGCTTTTTGAAAGAATAGTTTTCAGGAAAAGAAAAATCTGACACTTATCTCAATGCTAGGAAGAGGGAAACAACTCTGTAAAACTGCACCTTTAAAAGTAAAGCACCACTCATGATACTGAAAAAATGTTGCAAGCCTTTTTCTTTCTTTTCTGAAAATTGAGTCTGTGGAGAAAATAGTCCTGATTGTGTCATTTTGGCAGGTCAGGGATTATATGCTTAGAAATATGTTCCTGTAGTGGTTGGATACTCGTGTGTACAAAAAAGGGTAACATTGAATGTATCAGTTTACATCTGCAAGCAAATGTGTAGGTATTTCTCCTTCTGTTTCAAATATTGTATTAGTTTTTCAAAGAATGTACCATTTAATATTAATATATAAAACTCTGTGGAATATCTTTAATTTAGACCATGTCTACTTAAAATGAGAAATTGTTTCCAAAGTGCCCTAAAATCTTCTTTTCTCCAAGGGCAGTTTTAAATAACATTTAGTTAAGTGCTTAAACCCCATCCTGAAAATGGAGTAAGCTCCTTCTCACTTATACACTTTCCACAGACCTTTCAAACTGTTGCTTTTTTGCCTCATGTTTTTGAAATGATTTTGTATCTTTTTGTCTTTCCTTCGTGTCATGCTGCCTGAACACCTGAAAAAAAAATTTGTGTATAAATAGAACAAATACTGATCAAATACCTCAAAAAGTGTCCATAAATTTCATTTAAATAAAAAATTAGATTAATCTTGGCTGTTGGGTTTTTTTCGCTTTCAGTTGGTAACAAATGGGACAGCACTGTTTGCAGGAGTAATGAATTTTCAGGAAAGAATAGAGAAAATAGATAGGAAGTAAATATGAGCTGCTACCTATGAAACTAAATTTTTAATCTATATAAGGAGCAGGTTTGTACTGTGGGCATCTAATAAAAATTATTGAGTATAAAAATACTCTGCTATTTCTAGCAGACTACTCTGAACTTTTGTACACCTTTAGCTATTGTGTCTATTGCAGTCACAGGCTTGTTCCTTATTCTTTAGGTGGTAGTGAGCTTCCTTTTGTAACAACTATTTTGAGTTTTTAAGGGCTGTTACTTTTACAGGGTCTGTTCCTCAGATCCAAAGAGTAGAGGTCTAGCTACCTGGACAGTTCAGATCCAGACCCAAAGCATTCATTTTTGGGTACTTAAGTGTTTGAATTTGTTATCCAAGAAAGGGGAGGAGGGCAAGGTAGTGGTCCAAAGGTCTGATTTGGATCTATTATTTTTTTGGCTTTTTTTCCTTTCCTTTTCAGTCTTTGACAAGAGATTCAAGCTCGCTCCCTCTGCTTCCGTTTTGAGATTTCTGGAAATAGATTTCTGGAAATACAGTAGTGCTGCTGGTAACTGTCAGTAAGCCTAAACTGCATATCTCCCTCAAAGCAGAGATTAAATCTTTGTCCTCTGTGAAAAACATACACTTCTCAGAGTACCTGAGAGAGATTCTGTGAAATATATAGCTATTGGTAAAGGACTCTGAAGATGAAAAGCAGTTAATATACATACAGTGACAATAAACAGTGAAATTAAACTAAACCATTAAAAATAAAAATTACCAGAATGGCCATTACTTGCTAAGCAGGACACATCAGATAACAACCTGAATAAATTTTAAGTCAGATGGTTATCACAGAGGTTTGACCCTTACAGAAATAGATACAGGAACCGTAATCCTCAAATTTCCAAAGCCTGGAGAGATGGTGAAATGTGCCACCTTTTCTGTGATTGGCTAGTTAGGTCAGCCGGAGAAGTGGGCTAGGTCATGGCTCTGGTCCCTTTCAGCTTCATCTCACAGGGGATGCTCCTCAGTGAGAGTCTAACCAAGCAGAAAGCGTCACATCCTGGGCCTGTGCTTGCCTGTCACCACTGCAAGGTGTCTTCCCCTGTGAGAAGCAGGCTGGGCTCCTGCACATCCAGACAGGAGTGGTTTGTTTGTTGCACATCTGTAATACACTGCGATCAGAGCCAAACCTGGATTTTGTGAAACAATATTCTGGAAGAGGCCTCTGGACCTCAAGTCGAGGAGATCGGTTAAAAGTTTAGATTTCAATAAAACTGTAGCTACGTCTTTTTAGATTATACTTCTTTAACAGCTCTGGAGATGTCCTTAAAACACCTCCCAATCCAACCTCAATGCTGAAAGAGCAAAAGCCAGAATGTCACATGTAGTTTAATTCAACTTTAAAGGGAAATTAATCTCTCAACATAAGAAGGATGTGGACTTGTTGGAGTGTGTCCAGAGGAGGGCCACAAAAATAATGAGAGGGCTGAAGCACCTCTCCTACAAGGACAGGCTGAGAGAGTTGAGATGTTCAGCCTAAAAAAGAGAAGGCTCCAGGGAGACCTTAGAGCGGCCTTCCAGTACCTGAAGGAGGCTACAGGAAAGCTGGGGAGGGACTGTTTATGATATCGATAGGACGAGGGGCAGTGAGTTTAAACTAGAGCAGGATAGATTTAGATTAGATGTTAGAGTAAAGTTCTTTACTATGAGGGTGGTGAGACGCTGGCACAGGTTGCCCAGAGAGGTAGTGGAGGCCCCATCCCTGGAGACATCTGAGGTCAGGCTTGATGGGGCTCTGAGAAACCTGATCTAGTTACAGATGTCCCTGCTTACTGCAGGGGGGTTGGACTGGATGATCCTTAAAGGTCCCTTCCAGCTCAACCCATTCTATAATTCTATAATTCTATGACTCTACGGATTAAGAGGAAAGTATTTATGTGGGAAAAATTTGTCACAGGTTGAACTATTCTCCTACAGAAAGTTGTACATTTTTATTTCTCACAGTTCCTGTTATCATGCAGACCTCTTGCACACTTTTAGCACAAGGAAATAGAAAACAGTTCAAGATTTCCCAAATATGGATCAGTGCTTTCTACAGGCGTCAACAGAGGTTTAAAGTGAATGCTGTATTTCAAAAGCTTTCTTAAGCTGTTCCTGTCTAGACAAAGGTTTTCTTCAAAGCTTCCAAAGTGTGTCATTATTAGACTTTGAAAGCAAATGATGATCCCCGCTTGTCACCATGAGAATTACATTTTTAATAAGTATGTTGACCGGAAGAATTGTCACCATGTGGCACAATTACTATTTACAAGAAAGGTGAATACTGATATCCGTAGGCAACTGTGTTTCAGCTTTATCAAACTCCTGCACACCAAATGCAGACACTTTAATCTTTCCATCAAATGTGAAAAATAACACACATCTGAAGTCTTCTCTTTTCTTCCATTAAATTAAAAATCCATTTGCTCCTTGATATTATCAGCATTTTAAAGATGTGTAATCCTGACCATGGGATTGCTTTTAATCCTCTAATAGCTATTTAGCCAATTTCTTTGTAAAAGCCCATCCATGCTTCTTTCATGTTATATTACCCAGTGTCAATAACATGGCCAAAGAAAAACAGAAAGCACTATAGAAAAGTCATGTACAGACAGTAAAGCAATCAAGGCCAATTTATCTCATGGGAATAAATGGACAGGGAACGTCGACACAAAAATAAAGAATCTTTGAAAACATTCATCACCAGCATTCCTGGGAAGGAGGCAGGACAAGATCCAAAGCATTTTAAAGAGAGACTCTCAAGTGGTACCAACAGGAGAGCCCTGCTGAAGTTAGCGGAGGTCAGTCACTACCCCCAGATAAGCTCTTGGTAAATCTCTTCAAAACAGAGTCTAAGCAAATATTACTTCAGTGGGTGCTCACCACTAGTAACCCTCAGCATATAGATATATGGCTGCAGAGTAAGAGGTAAATTTGTTCTAGACAAATGGGGAGTAGCCAACTGGTAAGCCTGCAGCTACTCCTAACTCTTCTGCAAGGGTATCTAGTTGTAGATCTGGAAGCTCTGTAAACACAATATGAGCAACATTCTCCATCAACCTAAAGATGTTCTTGTAGGTAAAAATCTGCTATAAATGCTTGCTCACTTATTTCCCACATGATTTTTACACATTTTTTCTTCCTCACTGTGAATATGTCCACCCACAGAGCAATGAAAGAGTTGTTTGAGTTGCCCTTGCTGGGAGAACAAACTAGAGGAGTAAACATTTTTTGTAGAGGTAGATGTCTCCATATCTCAGTGGATCAATATGAAGTCAATGGTTGATCAGATACTGAGAGAGGTCAGGCTAGGATGCTAGTGATATGAGCACAGACTGACAAGAACATTTTGGAATTGACAGCAGTCTGACAAGGTGGCACTGCTCAGAAGATGCCCTAGAGGTAGATACAAATGTCATGACTCAGCTACCCTGAGTCAAGACCCTGAGAACTCAATAGGAACCAGCATGTTCATTTAGTGTGCGGTGAAAGAGGCTGGTAGCGTTTTCAGGAGTGAAAGGGCCACCTTTTTTGTCATCAGAATGTCCTTTCCCCTACACGT